AGTTCCAAAGCACGCCTGATTTCATACTGAGGTCAGTATGAGATCACATATGATTTTCAGTATAATTTTAAGTTCTAACTCAACCATAGAGGAATGGCGCCAGGTAAATTGCGCCAGATTTAAGAAATCTTTTTTTTTGTAAATACCTAAATTTTTAATCAAAAAATTTTGGTATTTTATTTTAATTTTTTTATAGCAATTTAAGATTTCCTCCTTCACTGGAATTTTTTTTCTGACAACAGTATGATTTCATTCTGACAACAGTATGATTTCAAAGCCAACGTCAGCGGGACCAAAAATCTCGACTGATTTTACTTATTCTTTAAAGTTTTCTTTCTACCGGTTTCTACCGGTCTCTTTACAAAATCACATCTGATTTCATTCTGACATCAGTATGATTTCAAAGCCAACGTCAGCAGTAACAAAAATCACATCTGAATTCAGTCTGACTTCATATTGCTGACATTCGCGTATGCGCTACTGACGTCAGATTCTCGACAGACGTGACGAACGATTTTCACGTCTGATTTTATTCTGACGTCAATATGAAATCCTAAATGCTTGCTGGGTAGTCATACAATGCGACACATCATGTTTTGCCACTTCCACCACTACCAAATTTCAGCTTGATCAGATAAATGGATGCAAGTTAAAAATTTAATAACAAGATTTGAAGCTAAATAAAATCGCTTTATAAAGAGTACCTATAGAGATTTTTTGTTTGGCCAAATATATGTTCTTTTAATTTTAATTGCATAAATAAATTAACTGTTTAAATAATATAAAATATTATTTAAAAATATTCGCTCAGCTGCCAAAACATGCCAAAAGCCACTGCTTTTCAGAGCTACACCGTAGAAAATAGAACAATGATTAAGGAAGGCGGGATAATGGTGGATATTGCAGGGACTAAACATATATATTAGGACAATAGCTTGTATATCATTAATCATGGCTATTGTTTTAACGAACGTATGGTTCTTGAATTTGGCAGACTCAGGTTTTCCTGACTTGTCTAGAGTTGCAATTGTAATTAAATTTTAATAGACATAAATACGTAGTTTACGTTTTCGTTAATTCGATTATAATCTTGTTTCGGTTAATTTTTAAATGGAAATGCTTGTGTTTTTTCGATTTTTTTCATTGGAAAAATTAGATGCCCGAATGGTATTTGACAAGACTATTTCATGAGTAACAGTTAACAATTAAAATATAAATTGCAATTTTCGGTGACAACAGCTGTCAAGTTTTGTCGCGGGTAAATTTGAAAAAACTGCTGACAGGTGCTGCCATACCATTTGTAATTAAAAATTGCGCGTTTGTGATTGGTGGAAATTAAACGAGGGAAATAGTCGAGAAAATATCCTTAAATCCTTTTTATTTAATAATAAAAAACGCTTGAAAAAAATAATCAAAAAGGGGTAATTTTTCCCGACTTTGAAGGGCTGTATCTTCCTTATTGTTCGTTTGATTTGTACAAAATTTTCAGGCTTAAGCAGCATATTTTTTATTTATATAAAAAAACATTTCCTAAAAGTTATTTTCAAACGGTTTTTTATTATTAAATAAAAGGGGTTTAAAAATATTTTCTTAGAAAACCATCGAAAACGAAAACTGAGATATAAGTTGAAGTATCTATATATAAAATTTCATAAAGATTGATAAAGGCGTTCTATAGAGTTTACTAGTTTTGCCTCAATAAACAGTGCCGGCGTGAGGTATGTGCAAGTGATGGGGTTGCACAAATTGTTGAGGAGTGTATCTTCTCATAATTAAATTACAAACTATACTTAATACAATTGACAGTGACAGAAGATTTTGACATTTCAAATATGGCAACACTCTCGATTTGAAAACATATTACCCCTATACGCTAAAGAAGCATCGCTAGTAGCGCCACTACGTGGCCGTTATCATCGTAACCAGAATTCAGCATTTTAGTAATTATTTAAGTAAAAATTGTAAATATTTTAATTCAGTAAAAATCATAAAACAAATAAGTCGTCTAAATTCAAATAGCATTTAGCATTATTAAAAGCGTTGATTAAGAAAGTCTCCACTCAACTGTAAAATACCAAGATCCGCTATTATATTATGTATTATATATAATATTTTGTTGCCATGAATTAGTTTCAAATGCAGTTGTCGGCGTTTATTTAGAGGACTCAAAAATATAAAAATACTTGATTTTAAGGTTATGTTTGTACAACAATTATTTTTTTTAGTTTTCTCAAAAATGTCCAAACCTAAATATAAATTATATTAGGTTTTCATTCGTTAATTCTGCACCAACAAATTTACCTACCGAATTGGATCCTTTGACAAAACATGAAAATGCAACGATTTAGTTCCTGAATTTTATTTACAATTAAAAACACAATAATTTACCATGTTCACTTGGATAAAATACACACACCAACGTAACTATATAAGCAAGGACCGGATTTTAGGCAAAATGCCTTTTTGTTTTTATTTTAGGCATTTGTTTGGGACCTTGAAATTAATCCTAAACATAGAAAATAAAGCGTTTGACACCCCTTTGTTTTTGCCAAAAAGACTAAAATGGCGAAATTTTGATTTATTGTCCTAAAAGGACATTTTTTTAAGCCTAAAATAGGCTCTTTGAATTTTTCAGCAAAAAATATATTTTTCATTGCGGAAAAAGTAAATAATTTTTAATTAGACCCTGCTTTCATGCTCTTATTTCGCTTAGACGCCCTTGGCGAGTACGAGGACCACAAATTACAAAACTAGTGAAAACCTAATAAAAAAGTAATTGTGTTTTTGCTATCTAAATATTTATTATAAATACGTAATTATCATAATAATAATAATATTAAGTTTGTAAAATAATGGTTGAAAGTTATTATTTACTTTGTTTTCATAGGTTTTACTGTAATTTCCATAAATGTATATGGTAATTTTAGACTTTTTTACATTTTTAGTAATATAATTTGTCGCCATCTATGGTTTTTCTATAAAGACAATAGATGGCTAAAGCCAACTTTGACAACCGTTGGAATCAACGTATCGTGCTTTTGTTTGTTTTGTTTTGTTTATTAGAATATGCACGTCAAAATTAACGCATAACAAGTAAAAAAATCCAACTCTAAAACGCCTTTACCAATCTTTATAAAATTTTGGATAAAAATACCTTAACTTATATCTCAGTTTATGTGTTCAAGGGTTTTTAGAGAAAATATCCCTTTTATTTAAAAATAAAAAACGCTCGAAAAAAAAAAAATTATAGGGAAATTTTTTTTAAGTAGGTAAATAAAAAATATCTTATGAAAGACTGTATTTTTGTTAATAGACCCTGAAAATGTTTTACAAATCAAACGAACAGTAACGAAAATACGGCGTCCAAATGACCATTTTTCAGCAAAATAATCAAAAAGGGGTAATTTTTACCGACTTTGAAGCGCTGTATCTTTGTTACTGTTCGTTGGATTTGTACAAAATTTTTAGGGTATACTAACAAAAATGCGGTCGTAAACACCATATTTTTAATTTGTTTAAAAAAATTCTCTAAACATTATTTTTAGAACGTTTTTTTATTATTTAATTAAAAGGCTTTAAAAATATTTTTTTGAAAAACCCTCGAAAGTTGAAATATTTTTATTCAAAATTTCATAAATATTGGTAAAGGCGTTTTAGAGTTCTTTTACTTATTATGCGTTAATTTTGACGGTCAGTGTATATATTGGCAGAAGATTTGCTTTAAATATATTTAAAGCAAATCTTCGTAATATTTGTATACAAGTAAGGTTTTCCTTTTCTTTATTCATACGGGCAATTGTTTTCAAGAGTTTGTGTTATTATTTTTATTATATATTTTATATTAAGAGAGACATTATATAAAATAAAATAATAAAAATAATAACACAAACTCTTGCAAACAATTACCCGTATGAATAAAGAAAAGGAAAACTTATATGTATATTTTGTTTTATTTTTATTGATAGGACCTGAATAAATGTTATGTTTAATCGTGTTGTTTTTATTTTATATCGTCTATTTTAGGCGGTTGAGGCCTATTTTACACTTTTGGCCTAAAACGGCGTAAAATGTAGGTTTTTATTGCCTATTTATGTGTCCTAATTTCCAATTTTTAAGGGCCTAAAATCCGGTCTTTGTATAGAAGCACATAAGCGTTGAGTTTCTTAATCAATGAAATAAGGAATAATAAATCCAAATCGATTACTAAACCAAAGTTTTTTTGTTTTTACTTGCAACGCGAAACACAAATAAAGTAAGCAATTTAGCTGTGCAATTGAACAAAATTTGTCGAGTAAGACTTCTGCCTTACTCTCTTTTGTAAAAAAACTAATATATTTAAAAATGATTGTTCGTATGCTTTAAATGTATCGTTGACAATTCTTGAATTCACACAATGCTATAGAACACCACCAGATGGCGCGCGAGTTGCGAAAACCGGATGCTTCTTTAGTGTACCTATTGAAAAACCCTTTATTTAGTAACTAATACTAATTGTAGAACCAAATGTTAGTTATACAATTATTATTAGAGCATTTAATAGCTATAAAACCCATTTCATATCAGAAATTGTACTGAATGTATTTACTTTCATAATTAATAGTATACCTCGAATTAAAAAGAACAAAAGACCATTTATCTAGCGGGACACAACGATCCTTTTTGCAATTTATTATTAAGCGAGTCAGTTTTAGGTCCGTAACATCATTAAATTTATTTTACCTTTCAAGCCAAGTTCAGAACACCGGAAAAAAATTAATGATATTATATTTTGCTCGCAGTAACAAATCGACTTTGATGCAGTGTGTCTTATTTTTTATTTTAATTATATGGCAAATACAAATAAATAACAAAGGGTAAAAAAACAATTGAAACGTTATAACAAAGGTTATATTTTAATATTTCAATAACCATGTTTATTTATACTTTTTCATATTATGATTATACAAATTTGGTTAAATTATTTTATTAAAAAAATTTAATTTTAAAACTAAAAATATTGTTCACAATTTTCTTCTTGTTAACTTAACAGGAAAACCAATTTTAGATCTAACTGATATGTCAGCTCTTAAATGCTTGTAAATATCTACATATTTACCATCCGCTTCTATCTTGAATCTTTGCAGAATATTTACTAGCAATACTTTTATAGAAGTTTGAGCATATAATTTTCCTGAAAAAAAATCATTATTGTTTATCTTGACAGTTGAATTTACTAGCATAATAAACGACATATTAAATATTAAATGTGGCCCCTAGAAGCCCAAGATACAAGCGACATTTTCCTTGTGAAGCTTAATAAATAAAATCATAAAACAACAATGTTGCCTTGAAAAAGAAATGATTCTAAAATATTTTGAAAAAAACTAAAATCTGTCAAAACCAAAAATCATTATAACATCCTTATTCCCACAATCCACACAAGGTCTGTTCGATCTCGTAGTAAAAATACTAAAAATCACTGCAACACTGCACATCATACGATGACGGCCATTTTTGTTGTTTACAATTCTTGTGCTTGGGGTTTGTACAGATTAATAATCGTTTTAAACGTTGTGTTTCCTACAGAGAGACTTGCAAGCCTTAAAAGAGACCTCAAAGTGGTAAGAACAATCATTTTACTCCTCTTTTGTAAAAAATAAACCTTATTCTATCAGGGCTGTCAAATGTCAATTTGAAGGTTAATTTAAGGTGATTTTATAACCCACAAATTAACCTTCAAATTGACATTTGTTTTCAAAGGTTTTAAGTTTTTTTATTAAATATTTTGAAAACCGCTGGCTATTTTTTAATTTATAAATCTTTTTTAATAGGCTTGCAATTACACAACCTTTTTTATAATTAAACTGACCTTGTAGTTCTTCAAATAAAAAAAAATACCCGTTGACGTATACAGGGTGTTTCATAACATGTGTCGGAAAATGAAGGATGTGATTCCTTGACTAATTCCAGGAAAAAAATGTCCTATTAACATGTGTCCGCAAACGCACCGTTTTCGAGATACAAGGTGTCGAAAAATCTTTTTTTTTTGTTTTTTAACAATATCCCAGAAAACGTTTGAGATATAAAACTATTTTTTTGTACAAGTCTTATAAATAATATTAGGTACTTTTTTAGTCCCAATTCAATTTTTTTATGTCAGTGGCGGAGATCTAAGGGTTGTGTGAGCTTTTTTGACCATAATTTCTTTAAAACTGTTGATATTGGCATTTTTAAACTGTAGTATTTTTTACAAAAAAAGGTACTCTAGTCGCGCAGGTGCACTGAGTGCTCCGTTTTTATTAAAACCTCTATAACTTTTTGTCGTTTTCTTGGAATTAAATGCCCTTTCCATGTAACCTATGACTGATGTGTCTACCATGCACTGTCGACGGCATATTTAGTTTAAACTATTGATTTCAAAGTTATGGACAGAAAACTTGAGATTGATTTAGAAATAATTCACTAAAACGTAACTAAATTTCAATTTTTGTAATGCAAAATATTTATAAATCAACAAAATATAGAATTTAAAACATAATGGTTTTTAAGGTATACATTTTTATAAGAAAACACAATTAAAAAAAGAACGGCTAATTTTTTTCTGATTTCTTCTTTTCTGAGTAGAAGTAATAACTTTTTTGTTATTTGCTTTTTGTTTTATTTTTTAATAAATATTGTGTTTAAGAAATAGAGTTTATTCATCGGAATATAACCAAAAGTAATATTAAAATTGAAAACATTCAGCAATATAGCCATTTTAAGGAGCGGAGCACTCAGTGCACCGCGCGACCACTTATGTTACAAAAATTGGCGCGAGTAGTTAAGGGTTAAAAGCTCTAGCATGAACCATTTTAGAGAAAAACGGCATTTTATGATGAAAAAAAAAGTAGCAACAAAAGTTTTATTTTATATAACTAAGATTCTTAGTCTAAGAACATAACAGTAAAACAAGAAAAATTACAATTGTTAAAAATGCCCTCCTTCTACAGTAATACAAGCTTCCAACCTACGTTTTAGTGACTGACGTAACCGTTCAAAAATGCCTGGAGTGTTTCGTATTGTATTGCAGGATGCAATAATTCGATTTCTTAGTTCGATTTCTTAGTTGTTTAACTGTATTAACCGGTGTTGTGTAAACTAAACTTAAAAAAACATGTTAATAGGACATTTTTTGAAATTATTCAAGGAATCACATCCTTCATTTTCCGACACATTTTTTGAAACACCCTGTATATGGCGGCCATAGACAAATTGGGAGAGAGTGTAGATACCTAAATTTGTATGTTTACATGTACAACTTTTTTTTTAATTCCCATCAATGAAAAAGTTATAAAGATTTTTTGTTTTGACAGGTTTTCTGTTTTTTTTTTAATTATTTGAGAACCCCTGTTTTTTCCACGTTTTTAAATGCTAGACCAGGTTTTAAGACATAATTATGAAACTTTTTTTATTGTGTTATTGTTTATATTATTAAAAGTAAAACAAGTAAAATCCCACTTGCAAATATTTAATATCTAAGTATAAGGATGAGACAAAAAATTTATTTTTTAGTATAATTTCATAATAAAATTATAAGATGGTGGAATTTAAACGCTTTGAAATGCGTTCGCCTATAGACACCTTTTATTGGACATTATCACAAATTTCTTGAACAAATTCTCTTTATTCATTATAAATTTCTTTTCATTTTATATTTACCTATACAGCCTCGAGGCCCTGCACTAAACGGAATAAAAGAGTAAGGGTGTCTTTTTTCAACTGCTTCAAAATCAAAATGTTCTGGATAAAATTCCATTGGGTGTTCCCATTCCTTTGGATTTAAATGTAAACTAAATATTGATATTAGAATTGATACGTTTGAGGGCAGTGTCCATTTATCTAGAAAATATAAATGTTGATTTAAAAGGTATAATATACCAGGTGTATTAAAAAAACATCGTACACGCGGTAAAACTTCTTATAAACTAGGGAATGTGAGAAATTTTAGTTGTGTGTGTGTGTGTGAGAGAGAGAGAGAGAGAGAGAGAGAGAAAGAGACAGGAATAATTTCAAAAGAAATATAACAGTATAAAATAAGTGTAAAAAATATATTTTTTTAACCATACCAGAAACGCGTTACAAGTCGTGGTTATTAGTGAGTAGTGACCGTCCCAGCACGCTACGTAAGATTTGAATAACACAAACACAACACCCCAACCAGTTCCCCAACCCTTTCTCTAAGGCGCAATCATTCCAGCACGCGCTGGTTTATTACAATTATTTTAATAATTAAATTTCATAAATACCCTAAAACATAGGGCAAAAATTATCGAACACAGACACTGCTTAGTAGTGACTGTTATCTAATATATGTAACCAGTAGTTATTAACTACTGATTAATTTTATCTGAAATAAATTTATTTCCTTGGCATAAAAACAGAAGCGAATTTGCTTTCGACACGCGCCTAAAGAGCGGCATGCTTTTAGCGCACCACGCCTTTGGCTTTACACCGCGTTATTACAAATAAGCCGCATTATTATAAAATAATAAAAACATTTGGCTACTCAACCGTACTCATAATTGTTTATTGTTTATTTGATTTATTTTTTTTTGAAATAAACCATTTGGTAACTTTTATAATTTTTTTTATTTATAACAATATAAATTGTATCTATTAGATACAATAAATCCATATTTTATTAATGATTTACGTGAATAATGTTACCAAAGAAACCCACGGTAAACTTAGTATGGTACTTGATGACAAATTAGTGCATAATGAACAACTAGGCAAAAAACTTTCCAGTTCTATTTTCTGTTATATATATAATCATCTGATATACTTGGGGCGTGATAGTTTTCCCTATTTAACTCCCACCTAAGTTATTGTATACTTTTATGGGGCAATTCAGTAAATGCTATAAGAATATTCAGACTCCAGAAACGAGTAGACATAGTTTTAGCAAAGGCCAAAACAGATAAGCATTTCAAGCCAATCTTTAAGCATGTGCAAATATTAGCACTACCATTTTTGTTTATTCTATACTGCTTGATGGAAATTTATAATCCTAAATCTAGCCACATTTTAAGCCATGAAATTCTAAGTACAACACTAGTAACACTTATTACACACAATAATACTTTACGTGAACAATGCATTTATTACAAATAATAAAAGAACTGCAAAAAGAATTAAATCAGTAATACAAAGTATTTTATTTCAAAAATGTTCATATTCTATCAAAAACTATTTTAACTATGTATTTTAAATAATATAAATTTTAAAGTAATGCCCTTGTTTGTTTATTTGCGGATTTTTTTACGTATAGTTTAGCAAGCAAGAGAAAACGTGCGACATAAGGGAGCACAATCATCGTCTGTCTGTCTCAGTTATGGGCGTTTCACATTCTTTCTGAAGGTTTTTTTCGCTTGCTAAATGTTACCTAATTTGTGCTGTATTTTACTGTATATACAGTATGGTTTTCACTTATGGAATAAAATTGGTTATTGGAGAAAAGATTTATATGAAAAACGCTCGGACACTTAAACTTTAGTTTTTATTTCAAATCTTACAATTATATTTTAAAGTTTTTGCCACCACCAATTATGCACGATACCCCATAAGTCAGGTTTAGTACAAATATAAATTGGTTATTGTTATCCGATGCTTTAGTTTTTTGTGTTGTGGTTTTTCTTTATTTAACATGTTACATAGCACCAGAATACTTTTATTATTGCCATTTTTGGGGTCGTCTCGTTAGAATTGTTATCATTTGCATTGTTTACATTTTTTGCATTGTTTACAATTTTTTTAATTATTATTAAAACGTTTAAGTTGTTGTAGTTTTTTCTTTGATCCAAGTGCAGGACGCCTCATTTTATTAATGAAAATGTGAAAGTAAATATTTTATTAGCTTTTCAAGAAGATCCAACAACTTTTACGGGTCAGGTTGCACCTGAAAACGACGTTAGTTATTCGATGGTTTTAAGATGTTAAAAAGCTGAAAAAATGCATGCATAAAAAATACAAGAATTGATTGACGGTGATTATGATAGAAGATTGCAATTTTGCGAGCAATTGCTGGATATGTTAAATAGGAATGTTATTTCTTCTGTATATATTCTTTTTTATGATGAATCAGCATTTCTTCTAAATGGCGAGGTAAATAGGCAGAATCGCAGATACTGTAAAAAATAAAACCTCCACTTGATGCGACAAAGTCATACCCTCAGAAAATCAACGTTTGGGCGGGTATTGTTGATGATCATGTGGTGGGACATATTTTCATTAAAAATCTTAACTGGGTAAGACATCTGAAAATACTAAGTTGTCCCAACTTTAACAGAGTTTTTTCAAATCATTTGGAAGCTAATCTTCCCAATGAAACATTATGGCTTCAACAAGACGGTGCACCACCCCACTATGCTCTTCCTGAACGAAATTATTTAAATGACACCGTTCTACACACGTGGATCGGAAGAAGAGGTTTTATATAATGGCCGGCAAGATCCCCAGATCTAACACCTCTGGACTTTTTTCTATGGGGACATCTGTGTTTAAAATAAAACCGGCTAATTTAGATGAATTAACAAACAGAATAACTGATGAAATTAGGAACATAACACCGAAGGTTTTAAACAGAGTGCTCTCTAAAAATGAATTAGTCAAAAAATTAGTTATTAGTGGCTGCTTTTTCACTTGTACCATGGTTAACCATGAGATACCACGGTATCCCAAAACTTAACAGCCAAAATTTATGAAAGTAGGGCAGTTTTTGAGATATAGTTAATTCCATAGAAAATTGACTTTATCTTAAAAACTGTTCTACTTTTTTAACTTTTGACAACATTTTTGGATTCAGGGGACAATTTTACATGGAAATTGACTTCTAAATGTTCGGGATACAAATTTCTATCGACGAGAATTATTAGTGGCTGCTTTTTAGCTATGACAATTAGTCATTTTGACTAATTTATTTTTAGAGAGTGCGGGAACAATTTTACAGTAGATTACTTAAGTTTCAGAACATGTATAAGATTAAAGAACAGTTTAATTTTGAATTTTAAACTTATTTTAAAATAAAAAATGAAGTTTTTTAATCTGTCATTATATTTTACCCTGTATTAAAAACTATGTTTACTAAACCCTTCTTAAAATATGTGATGAAAAAAGTGGGGTTGTTATTCAAGATAAATGTGCATAAATAACGTTAAAGTTTATGTGTCCGAGCGTTTTTCATAAAAATCTTTTCTTATCGAATTTTATTCCACAAGTGAGAAACACACTGTATATATAGTATATACAGTATATGTATTTTGTTACCTTTCCGACAACTGATAATGGACTAATTAGTTTAAACGTCCGATATGGCTCCATACTTTTCAGACATATTTATCAATATAACCCGAGATAAGCTAGCATTCCCGTAACTTTTAAAACACATCTCATAATCCAACAAATTGGCAATTTAATCATTTCAATGACGACAGGACTTAGGAAGTTTTCCTGTCTATGCAATAGTACAATCAGATGTTTAAGGGATTACAACAAGTATATCCTGTCTCTATTGTTAGAAGCGATATATCCTGTTAAAAAGGTCTTACCTGCAGTTACAATTTTGAAATAGGCTTTTCTTTACAAAAAAAATTAAAACGGCTTGTGTGATTTACCTTTAATTTGATACGTTCAAACAGTTATATGGGTCAAAAAAGTCCAATTTAAAATTATAATTAACATACATTTTCATATGATTTCTTTTCCTTAAGGTTAGTGAACAAATTGTAAAAAGTGGCCTTTAACCTCGTCAATGTGCTTTTATTTCGTATGTGCTTAACACAAGGCACCGACAGATAGACTATTTTGGTAGTTTAGACCTCATCAGTGCCGGGTAGTTTTTTGGTGTCGTGCACATCCAAAATAAACTGACTTACACCGCTTTTTAGGCAGCACTGATCTTGAGGAGACAAAACCATGTATACTATATTACCCGAAAAACTCGTTTTTTTTAAGTGGCTGTACCCTGCTATAATACATATGTATCCTGCTTGGTGGGCCAACGAAAACGAAACAGGTTTCGGGTAGTAAGCAGTATTTTAAAAAATGCCAAAGACACCTTAAATTTAATTTCGAGGAGGGACATCTTTTGCTGTAGATTTCACTTGCAGATTGCTTAACCCCTTCACGTAGTGATCATTAAAATAGTCAAATTCAATTAATTCCTTTTTAAGATATTTGTTGTAACAACATTTTTATTTAAATAAAGTACAAATAAGGAATTTTTGTCAGAAAAACAATGAGAACAGTAGACAAAGTTGAATCTATAAGTGTGCAACATTTTTTGTACCAACTTTCTACAAAATTTAATTTTTTTTCAAAATGCCTTCTAATATAGTTTTTAACAATATCGACAAGTAAGAAATGAACTACAACTTCTATTTATTTAATTTTTTTTCCTTTCAGGTTACCATAAAAAAATTGGTCCAACCAAACCATCTTCGAAAATACTTGCACATACATTATTCTTTGAGGAGTTTGAGTGTGGACTTGGATTTGCATCTGACCAGTAACGACAATTATGACTATTGACAGTTGAGTAAAGAAAAATGTACACTCGTCTAAAAAACAACTGTTGAAAAGCAAATTGTCATCATTAGCTGTTTGTTCAGTCATAATTTTGCAAAACTTCGGTCACCGTTCAAAATCATCCTTATCTAATTGAATCGAAATTTATTGGATGGTCGTTTTAGGAATGTTGGTAACCGTATCTAATTTTTTCGTCCAAAGGTTAGATCAGCAACAACCTGTCCTAAAAATTCTATTAGCAGCTTCATTCCTGACTGTCCGTTTACGTTCAGACCAATCCGTTTTATTCGCTACTGCTCTTTTTTTTTAACTTTAACCAGGGGCGGCTAGTGTATAAGGGCTGCAGAGCTGCAGAACTCCCAAAATTTTCATATTACTTGACTATTTTTTTAATTATTTAATATTTAAGTGCGACAGTGTACCTATAAATATTTCAAACGCAAGGCTGCATAAAAAGTTTTTATTATAAACATTTGCCGTGTCGCCGTACTTGGCCACTACAGTCATCCAAACGACCGGTAAAGGTCTCTAACGCTTAACGCTTACAATACAACAAAGCTGGGCCACTTTCGAGTTCTGGGTCCCATTTCAATACCGTAATTTTGCTCCGCGCCGCTCTTGGCCCTGGGTTAAGATAGCGGAATTTTAGCCAAATCGGAGCTGCACCAACATACAGTTCCTACTTCCCGGTCGTTTGTTTTTCGCTTCGCGTTCACGTTTGTTATTTTAGCTAGAAGACTGTTAATTCTGTGTATTTTTGTGTGTTTGTGTTTGTTGTTGTATTCTTTTGTAAGAATGAATGTGCTGTATGATTTAATTATGATTTAATTAATTATCTGTAGGTACCATTTAATTAAATGCCAACTGCGCCACATTTTTTTAAACCCCACTGGCAGAACTCACAAATTTTACTGCCACGAGCCGCCACTGACTTTAACACCAACTATATAACTAATGTTCTTTTCATACCTGAATGATTCATTAAATAAATTTGATGCACGATTTTTGCACTTACTATTAAAAAAGTTTAACCCTGCCCAGTCTTCCTCAATACATTCCGTAAAAATTGTTGAATGAAACTTAACTAATTTTGTGTAAGTACTTGATAAAAGTCTTTTTTATGATTGGACAATTTTTCCACAAGATTTTTTGTCAAATTCCTTATATTAACATTTTTATTTAAATAAGAAACCTGTTGCAACTTGCAATTTTAAATATCTCGAAAACGAATGACTATTGACTATTTTTTTATAATACTCAGTGGCAACCTTTAATGTTTTAGGGTTGTGACTACTGCGCGAAGGGGTAAATCGATTTGCAAGTCAAATCTATTAAAAAAGATGTCCCCAAAGATTTTTGTTGCGTGATAAAAACCTTTACAAACACCCCCGTATACATACATTTAATATTAATGAACAAATTTTGTTCATTGAAAACACCTTACCTATTTGAAAATCGGAAACAACTTTTCTGGCAATAAAAGGCGCGATCGGAAACAACCTTAACGCTTCCTTAACACACTTGTCCAAGTAATCTAATTTAATAACATCATCAAACGTTATGTTCGTTTTGTTCGCCCCCACGAGCAGCCGGATTTCCTCTGTCGCCTTCTCCTACAAAAAAGTTTTGGGTTTTATTGCGGTTTCTCTGGAATAACTTAATTGCATACTTGACATTCAGGATACATTCCTAGACAAAAGCAAGTAGCTGCAGCGATTTGAGCGACCGTGTCTTCACTCTTAAAACGTCGGAGAATATAATATCAACATTATGAGTTTAAGTTTTCATTAAGGTTACTTACAGCAGCATAAAGAGTTATAAGGTTATGTAAATAGTTTTGGTAATTCAACACTTTAGAGTTTTCCATAAATATTTTATCTAAGTCGTTAATGGACGGTTTAAAGTTATCTATCACAACAGACTTTCCAGTTTTTTTTATACGTCTTGTATTTTCTACCACCTAAAATATAAATAACAGATACAGATATTATTGTTTAAAAGATGTTTTTAGAGTTTGAGAAATAAGTCTAGAAGCGGTTAAATTTGGTCTCTTATAACGTAATTGTTTCTCTTTTTGTAAATAAAAAATCTTGATAAATAGTAATACCCAAGTAGCATTATAGTGACGAAAACTGATATCACCACTTCAAATGAATGGCAATAACGTTTAAATAACTAAATCTACCACAATACAGTTAAATATCTCCATATTATATTAGCATCGTTGTATACATTATAATCATGTGATTTGCACCAGCAGAATATACTTTATAGTTTTATAACTTTTTGGTGTATTAGTTTAGTATCTGAAATATTATGACCACTTTTGACACCACCTTAAAGTTGCTTTAACTTTGAGTGGATTATGAATAGTAACTGAAACCAAATCACATCACTTAAGTATTACTTTGAAGTGGTAGTAGTATTAAATTGGGTATATAAGTTTTGGCAACGTTTTCGGAACTTTTCCCAAACCTTGAATGTGGCAAAACTTGATTATAAATATAATTGCGGTGGTGATTGCCACGTTCTTGCTACATGCTTAAGTGATATCCAGGTTTCGTATAAAATTAGCACTTTAAAGTTCTTCAAAAGCAGACATGTTTACAAATAATCGCCATTGTAGGGAAATAACTCTGTAGTTTTAAACAAATAATTCTGGTTATTACCGCACCAAATTTAACACGTTAACACATATATATTGGTTTCAGGTGACCAGAAATAATAAAAAAAATATTTTTCATATTTCATATCCGCTAAGATTATAGATTTTTTTATTCTTTTTTATTACCACAGATTTCAACAGGGCGTGCTCATATTTCAAGCTATGAAACCCATGTTTAAAGTTTAATTCGTGTTAATTTTATGTCTTTGGATTATTTTAATTCCAGTTATTATTTGCAAGTTGTACTCTTACTATATTATAATTCAGTGTTATAACACTATAGTTTAATATTCAGTCAGAGAAAGCAAAGATAATAAGATAAATAATATGCTGGAAAGAGACGGGGTTAGAAATTAAGATTAGTAAAGTTACCATTAAGTTTTGGCCACTATACCTCCAAGTTATAGTAACGTAATTACAACGTGGTATTAACGTTTCTGTATACTATTCAAGAACGTTGTTGGAACGTAACTGACACTAAAAAAGTGTTCCCCATTTTAGTCACTTCCACGTAATAGAACCGTTTCTACCACGTGGCAGAGATTTTGGCAATATACTTTACTTTCCAAGTATAAGTGGCCAACACATTTTAACCACTATAAATGCTACTTGGGTATGGAATATCAGCATTTTAAAAAAAATACAGTTGACGCAAAAAATGGTTGTTTGCCATCTTATTTGCTTACTTAGTAACACATCCATTTTATTTAATCAGTCCGGCTAGCATTGACCAAAAACTTCGCCAAAAGTCGGAAAAGTTTAGAATTGACTTTCCGAAAGAAATATAAAGGTTTTTAAGGTTGCTAATAAAGATTTTACAATAATAATAATAATAATAAAATATATAAAAGAAATATTATTGTAAAATCTTTATTAGCTGCCTTAAAATTTAAAAAATACATATATGTATTTTTTAAATTTAAAATGACAAGTAGAAAATGCTGGATATTTTTTGGATACAGAATGTTATTAAGAATGTGATCAAACCTACAACTTAAGCAAAAAAAATATTTTTGACAATTTTGCAATTTTTGTTGTAGGTAGGTAAATGCGAAAATAAACGTAAACATTAAAAAATCGAATTTATTAAAATGTTCGTTATTAAATTTCCTACAACATTGCGGAAGGAATTTGGTTTATTTCATAGAGTTGTATTGATTTTCGACATTAAAGTTTAACTTAGATGGTTTTCGTTACTTGCTTCTTTACCTTTTCGACCATATCTATCCAATGAATGAGTCGAACAGCCTTGGATATAGCTTTAAATCTGCGAAATATTCTTTTCTTAAAAAAAAGTAAGAATGTTGTATTGGTGTTGATAATTCAGTTTAAATGATTACAAAACCAAGCGATTTTTTTCGCATTTTTAAAGTTTTTTGGTGCCCTGAACGCAAAACAAATATCACCGCTCTGTTTTAAAATCCTTGTAAGAAAGTGTGTGTAATTGTTGCAAAAAGGACAAACTGTTTATTTAATGTAAAAAAAATTGAATATGAAATTGAAATTGATGGTTGTTTACTTGTTTATTTTACTGGTTATTGATTTTGTTTTAACAATTACGATTTTCTTTTGGAAAATTTTGAGTAGTTGAACCCCAAAACCCCCCTTGCGCAAATTAAAAAAAGCATGAAAGTTTTGAACAATATTTACCCGCTGAAATATTTTTTTGATTTTAGATCATACACATAATACCTAACCCTTTTTTGCAATATTAGATTTCATTTGACCCTTATTTTATAAATAGGTAATTTTACATAAATTAAAATTTTTAAGAGAAATGGACCTTACCACCCAAAATAGTGTGATTTTACCTATTTTAATTATTAGAAATTAAATTTTCAAATTGTCTCATCAAAACATGCTTTATTGAATTTTGGATGACATGCATATTTAGTTATTTTTCTCGCTAATGTGGGTTGGTTGGTATACTGGTTGGTACTGGGAATCCCGAACAGAAATTACGCGAGTGACGTGAATGACGCAAACGGAGGTGAATGACGCGAGTTACGCGAATGTGAGAATCCTGCGCAATGTTGCATTATTACAAATTCTGGAAAATTTTTGCTTTTTCATGAGAAAGTACTTTAAAAAAATTTCTATAATAGTAAATGTGAATTTTTAAGACCAATGGTATGCTCATTTATAAAAATATTTTGTGTCGCCGCCTTAAAAAATTATAAAATTTATAATGTTATTATGATATTTTTAAATTTTTTAAATCATTGTAATCTTGTTCTATGAAAATGTATACAATAATTTTGTACAATAATAAATTAAATAATTTTACCACCTAAATGTTGTTTTCCAGTAGGTACCATTTTTATAAAGAACGTACCTAATTTAGGAAGTTTTTTACCTAAAACAAGAAAAAAGATTACCTAATTAGGTATCTATTTTTATAAATTTTTCCACCTAAAGTCCCATCTCTAGACATCACACATAAAAATTATTTTTGATTGTGAACTTATTCCTGTAAAACTAAAGTCGTGCCGGCAAACACCAGTGTAAAACTAGAGCCTTTATAAAAGGGGACAAGGACGTGCTTAATTAATTTTAAAATTTTGTTAGAAAGCACTTTACTTGATATAAAAAGCTTAAAAACATTTCGGTCTGTTGTTATATGAAAATACGACCGGTCTGAAATTTCATATATGGAATAGTTGTTTTTTACTACCAAATTTATTCAGTGTGTGATGTGTTGGATTTATTTTCAAAAAATTTAAAAAAAAGAATGGAATAATAGCAAAATGGCTAAGGCTATAAAATCGTGGACTCTGAGCTCGTAATGTTCGACACTTGGACTTGTGGTTCCCAGTTTTACTGAAAATAACTACTTTGTATCCGGATATCCTTTATTTGTTTAATATCTATAATAATTACATTTTTTATATAAAATAAATTTAAATTAAGTACTTACAGAATCCATAAATTTATTCATGGTAGCCTTATAGACATCGGTTTTATCTTTCAGATGCGACATTGAAAATATAAAGTCATTTTGTAACCAAGGCTTTACGAGTCTCGGATAAACTACATCGTAGTATCTATGGCAAGAAAACATCGAAATTATTATTTCTTATTATAATTTGATTAATGTAGCTACTTACTTTATACTGGCATCGATAAATTCCTTATTCCTTCCTTTTTGTGCTCCAATTTCTACGCCCAATATGGCTTCTAAAAGAATAATGCATCTAAGTTTTGTTTTAAAAATACTACATAGACAATTTTGTTTAATATACTTAATAAAAAAATATGAAGGCAGTTTAATATAAAAATTTGAGGTCGCTGTAATTTTTTTTAACTTAACAATAAATATATCATATCAAAACCTTTAAGTGCACGATAATTCGCAATTTAATAATTAACAATCTTGCATTTTTAAATTGAATTTAATAATGGAAAAAATTAATTGCAGGGAAGCAGGCTAAAGTACAAAAAAAGAAGGCAAACAAACTAAAAGAATCATTAACCCAATCATAAAAAACCCACTCTCTTATCAAGGGCAATATTTTGACCTGTTGACAAGTTAATTAATGGTCTTCGCACAGTGTTGTAAAATAATTAGAATATATCTGTTTTCTATTTCTTTTCACGTTAAAAAATAATAACTTGTTGAATAGGTGCTGAATCTTCTTTTTAAGTCAGTTTTTGGTAAAATGGTTACATCTTCCTTGAATCTAGCTGCTTATTTTGATCAACTCGACGAGGACGGAGAAACGAAAATGCACCCACACCCGTATAAAGGGTAAATTTTGATCTGTTTGATAATTATAATTTAAGAAATTTCGCACAGTGGGGCCAAAGGATGTTTTCTATTTCTTTTCGGCCTAGTAAAATAACAACTGGCTGAATCTTCTTTGAACTCACTTTTATCTAAAAATATTTGAGAAGTGCACCTATAGGTATAAGTATACACAGAAAAAAAAGAATAGTTCATTTAACTATATTAATTTAGTTGACCCATAAGTATTTATTTTTGTATTTTTTTTATTTTTATCAACTGTGGGAAGGTTAATATAAACAAACATTAGTCTGACGGTACTAAACCAGATAGTTATTATTATTTTTTTTTAAATTGGGTAAATTAACCCAGAAAACTTTGGTGAAACCAACCCGCTGTATAGTTCAGTTTACTAAATATTTTGTTTGTAAACTAAGAGTTACTTTAACCTAAAGCACTCTGTTAAAACGATTAAAACAATTTGCCGTGCATTCCCGGTTGCATAGTGTGTACCGATCGCGGCAAAGGCGGTGTGTATCACGTGAAGTTCTTAAATCTCGCCTCTGTTGACTTACATGAAGAGTATATACACTGTTCAAAATTTTAGCTAATTTTTACCTAAAATATTAGACTATATAGGACCATTGATTTTTTAAGGCAAACTGCCTGAAATGAATTCAGAGGAATATTCCCCTTTTAAATTAGTGAATTCTTTAACTGATATTTTTAAAGAAAATGATACAATTAATTAAGCAAAATTACTTAGGTTTCAAAGATGATACACCTTAGATCGTAAGGGATATTGCCTGAGAATAAAAGAATAAATTTCCTGTTTCTAAGGCAATTTGCTTAAATTTTTAGGTAGATTATATATATTTTTAGTGAAAATCCTCTTATTTTTCACGGTAAATTTATCTAATTTTTTTAGATATACCCTTTTTTCGGGTAATTTTCTACCAATTTTTTAGTAAAATTCTACTAACTTTCTAGTAAAATTTTACTTATTTTCTAGTGAAATTCTACTATTTCATTAAATAAAAATATAAGGGGAACAAGAATTGGCGGTGGGGGCATTTAGGAGAGAAGATATTTATAATGTCATTTTTATTCTCACGCATTGCTTTGATAATATACTATTTTGGAAATATACTATTGTAAATGTTAAATATTATTGTAAAAAGTTACCGATAACCTAGTAGTGTTTATCCCTATATCGAGCAATGTAAATGAGAAAAGAATGACATTATAAATCCCCCTTTTAAGTGCTGATGGGTAAAATAAAAAATACATTTATTTTAGTTAAATTGAAAATGTATATTAATAAATATGTATAAATAAAAAAAATAAAAGTAACAAAAACGACAATAAAACTTATAGGTATACCTACTTTATAAGTTTAATAAAGTTTCTTTTGGCATAGGAATTTTCTTCCAAGTTAGGACTCCTTTATCTTTATGTCCTAGGCGAATTAACAACGGCGGTTCCGGTACTACAGGGTTGGGATTATTTAAAAATAAATTGGGGTCAATGGAAAATTCCATTTAGTTTGGATTACTTAACTATAGCACTTCAAAATGTTCACTTATAGCACAATATTTGTTAACTGTTGTTATATCAATAGCACACAACGCGGTCTTTACGTTTTCGTTGATTTTGGCATTCTGGTGGACAATATAGGCGCGAATATTTATCGTAAAACGTCGGTATTAGCGATCGTGGCCGATTGTAAGTAAGTCACTAATATTTAAAGGAATTTACCTAAATTAGTTCAATAATTTGCCATAATAACTTAGAAGAATTACCTAAATTAAAAGCAAAATTGTCGTACCTAAAAGTCATTGAGATTTTGACTAAATATTTAGGTAATCTGCCTATCTTTTTAAATTTGAGAAGTTTATTAAGTAAAGTATGAATATTTATCTAGAAGTTAGTTAATACACCATAGAACAAAGGCATTAGTTTCTGCCTAATAAACGAGAAGGTAAATTGCTTTACTCGTTTAAGCATATTACCTTATTTTTTCTTAACTAATTCTGATTAGGTATTTCAAAAGGCTTGATTTTGAACAGTGTAAGCTCAGATAGTCCTATGCTTTGGTGTGACACTACAAGTTGTTCGATACTAAAGAGACCTTAAATAGGTGGAAACAGCTGTCAATACTAGTATTTTAAGTTAGTGGAACGAACTAAAAACATTATCTCTAGCGAGTTGAAGGTTCAATTTTCTGGAATAAAACTACCACTGGTAAAATACTAGTAATGCGTCAAGGAACTTCCCGTTTCCTTTTTTCTGTGAAGTATGATTTAATTTGACCAAAAACACATAATATTTAACACTGAAAAGGAGTTCAATTTACACCAGGTAAAATTTATTTTAATACTGTGTGAAACTTAAATTAACACTATTTTAGTATTTGAATTTACACCGGACCAACGAACCATATTTAACACCATTTTGGTTTGTATCGATATAGACCATGTGTGGTGTTAATTTGATGTTAAAATGGTCATGAAATTTTGAACAGTGTATACGGCTCTTAAACTCATACTCATAAAAAAAGTTTTGATGGATATATTTTACTTGAATTAAGCGCTCTGAAAAAATTTATTAAAAATTGTGTTTGGTTAAAATGAAACAATAAAACTGGTCAAAACTGAAAAGATTTTAAAAATTAAATTAAATATTAATTCGTTTTTATTTAAAATAGTTTACCTCCAATAATATCAGCAACGCATAAATGTATGGCATGGTGAATGCACGATTTTGGTTTATCCACTCTTTCCATTAGCTTTTCCATAAATCTGTTAATATGCTTGTTACTAATGCCTATGCTTTCGGTTACAAATTTTTGTCCATATAGGGGCTGAATATGTTTTCTGGCCACCTTCCATTCAATACCTAAAAATAATTTTGTCATTGATCATTTACTAAATTAAAATAAGATCGTATAAATGTATTTTATTTTACCTGACCCTGTAATTAGTCCTTCTCCTGCAAATGTTTTTAGATATTTTAGTAAGTCGGCCTTAGCTATAACTTTAGTGGAAATCAGAATTTTCTAAAATTAATGTTAAGTTAGTTATTTGTTTTAATACTACAGACAAGGCGTCGTCAGCTAAGCGAAGGGCAAGATGATAGATAGAGAGATAGAGAGAAATAAATACAATTTGTATAGTCCGACCAAAGCTTCGGAACAAGGAAGTACAGTGCCTAAATGAACAAGTAAACCTATTTTACACACCTATATTTAAACACTTATAAATGACCTTACGTTGAAAGTACATATAAACATTTAAAGGAAATACAACACCGCACTACACTAACAACAAATATCCCAACATAACCCTAATATTTCTAATCGTATTTTTATTTATTTATAATTTATTTGTTTAGTCTGAAATGATTTTGATATTTGTTAACTATATACACACAAATGTTTAATTTTAATCTGTATATTTTATTTAAATGACGTGTAAGTATAATTTTTAGATTTTAATCATAATTCTGTTTTTTAAAACTATATTTATGTAGAAACCCTGAGGATGACTATAATAGTCGAAACTAGTCGGTTTTGAAAATAAAAAAAAAATTATACAAGCAGGGAAGTGCATTATTCATTTAGAAGAATCTCCTTAATATATAAACATACCACTGCTAAAATGGATTACATAATAAAACAAACTTTTTTATTCTGTTTTCTGTGAGAAGAAGCGATTTACAGGCTTTTTCCCGGTGACTTAAAAACCGATACCGATGAAAAGTTAAAATTTGTTCTGTTTTTACCTACAGTTCCCGCCGTGTAACTTGGCGAGAACGCCTTATGCGCAATTGACGTAACTTGGTTATGGTACCGCCCTTCAAGTAAAGTTTAACACTTGTTTGGCAATGCAGTGGCGCGTATTCAATATTTACTTTAAAAAAAAATTAAAAGCTTTTTTTTCTATTTGTTAATTTTTTTGTATAGAAACTCTACCCACATTTCATCGTATCGCAAAATTATTAATAAACTAGTTTAAAAAATATATTTAATTAAAAAAGTGAAGGTAACAAAGTAGAATAATCTTAAAAGGTACCTTAATTATATAAATATAGGTACCTAAATACGTATATTACCAAAACTAAATATTAAATGAAAAAACAGTCATACATACTATAGTCAAATTTCTCTCTTATTATGTTATATTATTCTATTCTATGTTTTGATCTGTTCGGTCAATTTTAACCATTTATTTATAGTCAAATTGTATTCATTAAATATTTCACTTTTATTATAAGTATTAAAAATGTAAATAATGTTCACTAACAAACAAAACAAGTTATGTGAAAATATTAAAAAATACCAAAAACAAACACAAAAAGAAGGAGTAAGAACAAAACAAAAAATAATAATAAAAAAAAATAAGACACTCCCAAAACTGACTAACTAATGATTTTACTTACAGGTCTTCACTCTGCACAAAACCCAAAAAAACAGACGCTGCTATGTGGTTAACATTCTCTCAATAAAACATTTGCTGCATAAAATTTCTGGATTTAACTCAAAATAAACCTAAGCCTCGACAAAATCTAAACTAACATACTTCAGGAGTTAGGGCATAAGGTTTATTTTGACCGACCCTGCTTTAGCATTTATTAGGCTGCAGTATAACGATATTAAACATTTTTTCCTGGTATGCTAAAACCTCAATTATATAAAAACCATAAGGAAAAATTTAAACAATATAAGTATGTGTTGGGGTTACCACCCTACCACCCCGATCTCAACCCTATTGAGCTCATTTGGGCAATGTGGCTCAGAAAAATGTCATTTTAAAATTGGACGATGCAAAAAAATTGAGGGAGAAGAATTTTCTTAAATAACGCAATATATATGGAAGATAAATATCTTGACACTAGAAATTGTGTTGGGTGATCATGTAGAACCATTTTTAATTAATTTAAATTCAGATGATAGTAGCGACGACAACAGTTTTTTAGAAGAATATTAATTAACTATTATTTAGGTAATTGTACCAATGAAGTTTTTATTCATATTAGGGTAAATATATTGAGATGTCCCCCAAGTGAAAGATTATTTTTTATTTTTGGTTGTTTCACTTTTAGTCTAGAATGGGGTTTTTGGGAAGCCACCAGGTCTAGTAATAACATAACATAAGTGGTTCTGCACTAATGCAAGAATTTTAATTAAGAAATCATACATTTTGAATATTACAGCTTCAGGGAAGATAGCTTCACGGAGGTTATGATTTCGTATGTTTTTTTTAAACATCCCTTTGTATATTTAAAACAACTTATTGTATTTTTTGACACCTTAATATTTTTTAAAAATACAATTGTACATACATAAAATATTTATAAAAAAATCTACTCACTGAGATATTACACTTCACGGTGGATATGTTTTAAAATAGCAAATTAATGAACTTAAACTTTTGAATTATAAAACAGCAACACTCTCATCTGCATATACATTCTAACTGACCTTCAGGAATTATTGCATCTATAATGTCGTAAACAGAGGTATTTGCTTATTTAACATGATTAAAGCGCCATCCGTTGCATAAAATTTAAAGCAAAAACAGATTTACGGAGGATAGAATCAATTTTTGTAACACCTACCTAAATGGTTATAAAAATTATTTCTTTTAATTTTTACTTAATATTTTATATTTGATTCGATTGCTTTGGATGTGTTTAATTTACTTAGTGAACTGATATTTTTAGTATGCTTTTACTACTTTAGATATTTGAAAACATATAGGTTAACCTAGAGTAAAAGTCACGGAGGATATGTTTTAGACTTTTAAAACATTGTAAAAAATAATTAATTGCGTTTAAAAATCTGGAACCTGAGCTGTAATATCTACTTAATTATGAAAGATCAAAACACAATAAAAGTGTAGATCAAACTCATTTAGTTTTATTAAATATCACGGCGTAACACCATCGGGGGACATTTCGTGAGATTCGCCCATTAAATAAAAAGTATCTACACTATAAAACTTAAATATATTTTTACTTACACTGCAAGTAGTTTTTTAGATTTTTCCTAACGGAGACGAACAAAAAACACGAATTGAAGGGTAAAGTTTAACGTAATAGGTATAATATAATCATCGAATTAAAACAAAATGGCCGGTTTATAAATTATAATTGTATACATTTTAATATTGTTTTAACTAAAATGGTTACAAGCCGATTTAAAAAAGTTTTGTGAAAAAATATTGTATTATTCTTCTGAGATTTATTTTTGAATAACGTTAATTACATCCGTTACTAAATAGGACAATATGTGACCTGGCTTTTGATTAAATTTGTTTAAGTCTTGGTCAGCCCCCCTGCCCCACTTGGTGACGCCCATAATTACAGATTAATAATGAACTTGAAAGGATAAAATTGATGAATTGAAAAATAATTTTACATGCAAATCCTTTTACTTTACTCTCTAAAAATGAATTAGTCAAAAATGACTAATTTAATAGTTGGTAGTGGCTGCTTTTTCACTTGTACTATGGTTAACCATGAAATACCCTGGTATCCCAAAATTTAACAGCCAATTATTGTGTAAAATTGTTCCCTGAATCCGAAAATACCGTCAAAAGTTAAAAAAAGTAGAACAGTTTTTGAGATATAGTCAATTTTCCATTTAATATGGAATTGACTATATCTCAAAAACTGCTTCACTTTTATAATTTTTGACGGTATTTTCGGATTCAGGGGACTATTTTACATAATAATTGGCTGTTAAATTTTGGGATATCAGGGTATTTCATGGTTAACCATGGTACAAGTGAAAAAGCAGCCACTACCAACTATTAAATTAGTCATTTTTGACTAATTCATTTTTAGAGAGTATAATTAATGAAAACTTCTCACCTCCACGTGGACAGGATCCTTAAATATTAAAAATAAATTTGGACCCAGCCAGAAGCGTATTACTGGATTTTTTGGGTAGCTATTAATAACACTTAAAATTTCTTTGAATAAATCTAAAATTTTAAAATATTAATATAAAAATTATTTATGTTTTAGTCTATAATACCATCTAAATTTAATTTACTTGACATTTTACATTAAAAATATTAATTACCTACCTTCTGTTTCAATAAATAAGAACTTATATGCACATCCTATAAATGGTAGTGAAATTGGCCCTGGCAGTTTTAACGATAATAAATACATATGCCTTTTAGACCAAATATACAATATCAGTTGTATAAAACATATTACTGCGACCAAAATGACTAACAAATTATTAATCATTGTTGCAACTAAAACAAAATGGTTTTGTAAATAAATTAACGAGTTGGTAATATCTGTGTAGGTATTATAAATATTGTACATTATAAATTATTCACAATGTACTTATAATATAGACATAAAAATAAATATAAATTGTTTGTAAATGTCGTAAAAATGATTCATTATTGAAATTTTATTGTTTACAATATTTGTAAGATGGTTGTTAAACAATTAAATTAGGAATGTATAAAATAACATGTTGCCAGGTTTATTGATCAAATATGTTTAATTTTTTGCATTATAGGGGCGTAATCATATTTTTTTAATAATTTAGTTTTTTATTACAATAATTTATTTGGTTTCTGAAACTCGGTCAAAGTCAACATTTTAATAAAGTACAGCTACACTTGTCAATGAAATGGTTTATTTATAAAATCGTTACAAAATTAATTAAATATAAAATAACGTAATTACATAATAAAATATATGTAGAACATGAAAATAAATTGGTAAAAAACAGGGACAATACACCACTACTATCAAGATTAACACACATAAAATAATCTTTTTTAATAAGTGATAGGTAACTGTTTTTATCTGGGACTTTAGCCTAAAGTAGGTTATAGTTAAAGTGACCAGATTCTGTCAAAAAGTAGGGGGATATTTTGTGTAAATTCAGAGTAAAACCAAATATATCTATATACAGGGTGTCCCACAATTAGTGCGACAAAATGAAGGTGTATTATCTAAAGTCCCCCAGGAATTCCAGAAAATTGTTTAAAAAATTATTTCTTTATTATTTAATAAGATACAGGGGAGTCATATTTTCTTTATAAGGCAAGATTGCCTCATAACAAAGTAATAGTTTAATTCTTAATCATCATAACAACAAACAACAATGTTAGAAAATGCCAAATTTAAATGTCAAAATTTGTTACTTTAAGTAACTGTTATACCTAGGTTATTTATTTTAAGTCAGACTGGATAGAAAAAAATACAGGGAGTCCCTGTCTGACGTAAAATAAATAACCTATAACTTAAAGTAACAAATTTTGACATTTAAATTTGGCATTTTCTAACATTGTTGTTTGTTGTCATGATGATTAAGAATTAAACTATTACTTTGTTATGCAGTGGCGTAATAAGCACCCCCGCAGACCCCGCACCGCGGGGGGGCCCAGACGGTCAGGGGGCCCAAGGCGTTCTTTTTCGAAACTAAAAATAGTGAAAACATATCTTCGTAACACTATGGGAAAACAACGTCTTTGTAATTTATCAATTATTAGTATTGAACATGAGTTTATTAAGACATTAAACATTGACAATATTATAACGGAATTTGCAAAAAAAAACTCTAGAAGATCAGACCGTTTTTTGTAGTAAATCTATAAATACTTAGACAATCGCATTTTGTGTTTATGTTTTTAATTTTTTTTTTAATTTAACTTCTTTAAGACTGTCTACAATATGTTTTTAATTTTTTTTCAAGGCTGTTTAAACTTGGTAAGATATGTATACATTTTTTAAAATATTATTATTTTTAAATTGTTATTATTGCTGCTATAATAGTATAATACTGCCGTTTTATGTTTTTAATTTTTTTTCAAGACTGTTTAAACTTGGTAAGATATGTATACATTTTTTAAATTATTATTTTTTTTAAATTGTTATTATTGCTGATATAATAGTATAATACTGCCGTTCTAAGAAAGGCAAAATTTGGTAATAAGAACAAAAAATGTTTAGGTAATTATTATTTAAATATTTTTTTAAAAGAATCTTAATAAGATATTATATATTATAGAATTACGAAAATGATCCTGCATATAAAAAGGTATATAGAATAAGATATTTTTAAACCAAAATTAATTAAATATTTTATGTTTTACTACCAAAAATTGCAGATACAACAATTTTTCTTACCTAATCCTTTTTTATTTGCTTATCGTATGTCTGTCTATCGTATACACTCTATACCTACCTGTCAAAATTTTTAATTTAAAAAATATTATGTATATAATGTAGGTTTAAAAATACTATGATAAACTATTTTAAAAATTACCTATTAAATAAACTTTTTAATTATTGTAAAGAGGGCCCATTAAAATCGTTTGCGGGGGGGCCCACGCAGAATTTGTTACGCCACTGTTGTTATGAGGCAATGTTGCCATATAAAGAAAATATGACTCCCCTGTATCTTATTAAATAATGAAGATATAATTTTTTAAACAATTTTCTGGAATTCCTGGGGGTCTTTAGATAATACACCTTCATTTTGTCGCACTAATTGTAAGACACCCTGTATATATGGGGCGTGGCCTCGCCTCCCTCTAAGGCGCGTCACAGTAGCTTGTGTGATAAACGACATGACGAAAGGTCGAGCAGGTAAGACGACTTAAAAAATTAAATGATAATAATGCAAAAAATCTCATAAGCGATGCAGGCTATTTGCTTAGCTACTGTGTTGCGCGTTGGAGGGAGGCTAGGCCTCGCCCCATATATATATAGATATATTCGGTTTTACTCTGAACGGGCTGTATATATACTACTACTGTGGAGAAAGGCAGTAACTGATAAACAAGAAATTTGTGGAAAATTAACATAAAGAATTTAGTACAAATTTTTGTAATTACCATAACAACCGATGCCAAAATCATTGTCAATTAATTTTTAAGAAAATAATGAACCACTGTATAGTCATAGTAAAGATAAATAAAGGGTGTCCAATTAAGAGCGCTCTAACTTTAAAATGAAATAAAACCAACTACACTTAAGATATTAGGAAAAAAAATATATTTATTTAAAAGAACATCCTATGGCATTAATTATGAAAAATAACATCTTTCAAATGCCCCCCGCGGCTGCGCTCCACAGCGGGCATTCTGCAGGTCCAATTTTCTATCACTTTTTCGCACATTTCGGGTTCGATTTCATTTATTATACGAGTTATGTTGGCCTTCAGTGCTTCAATTGTTCGTGGCTTATTCACGTATACAAGGGACTTTACGTAGCCCCACAAAAAAAAAGCCTGATCTCGGTGGCCACTGGATATCGCCGCCGCATGAAAAATTCAACGGCGTCATTTCACGCGGCGGCGATATCCAGTGGCGAGATCATGCGATCTAACGCCGCTGGACTTTTTTTTGTGGGGCTACGTAAAGTCCCTTGTGTACGTGAATAAGCCACGAACAATTGAAGCACTGAAGGCCAACATAACTCGTATAATATGTAAATGAAATCGAACCCGAAATGTGCGAAAAACTGATAGAAAATTGGACCTGCAGAATGCGCGCTGTGGAGCGCAGCTGCGGGGGGCATTTGAAAGATGTTATTTTTCATAATGAATGCCATAGGATGTTCTTTTAAATAAATATATTTTTTTCCTAATATCTTAAGTGTAGTTGGTTTTATTTCATTTTAAAGTTAGAGCGCTCTTAATTGGACACCCTTTACTAGCGTAAAGTAAATTAAAATCTCGTCTCCTCATTGGGCAGAGATCAATTATCTTCACAGTTTAAGACTGAGTCACGTTCTCAATTAAAATCATACATTCTTAAATATGATTACAAAAACTCAATATTGAAAGTATTTTTGATTTTAATATTAAACCAGGCAACTATTTTTTATGATTATGTAATCTTTGACCTCACCCAAACTTTTTTCGCACTCCGCTGCTTAAATTTGATAATTAATTTACTTATATTTCTTGGCCTATTTACAACTTTTTTTTTCAAATTTTGGTTCGTTTAAAAGAAATAAAGGAAATTAATCAAATTTTTAAACTTAAATAATGATGGCTATGATAAATATTACATGATCAGAAAAAAATTGTCACCATACTTTACTTTAAAGATTTAAAAAAACTTTCAAATTATTAAGATAAGATAAGGGTAAAATACTAATACCAAGCCACCCATTTAGATCTGGCAACCCTGTGTCTTAATCACTTTTAGGTGTTGTGTGTTTGTTCATAGATCAGATATTAGATATTAGACTATAATAAATTTTTAATATATAAAGTTTTTAATTATTAGGTAAATACCTATATTTCAGTCAAAATTTTAACCGTTGCCACATTTTTTTTTACTTTATATTTGTTTTGTTTAAAGTTAATAATATGAACAACTTTCACCAAAAGTACCGAGTTGGCTAAATTCTTCATTTCGGAATTTTTGAAAAATGGACAGACATCGATAAGAGTATCATTTTTTCTAAAAAATGCGATAAATTGGCAAAAACTGTTTCCATCATTACAATTTTTTTTGGCAATTGGCAAAAAAAAATTGAGGTCAAAATTTTGACCATTTCCACATATTTTTTTTACTTCCTATTTTTTTGTTTGAAGTTGATATTATGAACAACTTTCACATAAAGTCCCAAATTGGCTAAATTCGTCATTTTGGAAATATTTTTTTTTAATCGTGGTTAATCGCAAAAATTTGCTATTTTTTCTAGGGTGTTGAAACTGGGGTGATCTTTAAAAAGTGTAATTTAGATTTTTATAACATATTTAACATATTTTGGTCACTTCCGGTTTCACCGGAAATAATCTTAACTTTTTATTTTTTAATGAAACACCCTATGCATTTTTACATATTTCTAAAATTCTAAATTTTTCAAAGGTCAAATCATTTTTTTATTACATTTTATTTCTATATCTAAACTGCCTTGAATTGGCTTTTTACTTCATGTTGAGCCAAGTAGTCTGGAAAAATAAAATTTTATTCTTCTTTTGCAATGCTGGTTGAATTGAAAAACCATACTTTATACCAAAACTATTTTTTTACAAAAAAATAAATCCACTTTTTAAATTTGATACCAATAATTGTTGTTAATAATTATTATTAACAACCCGGATTTTAGGCCCATTAGGACACATAAATAGGCAATAAAAACCTACATTTTAGGCCGTTTTAGGCCGAAAGTGTCTAAAATAGGCCTCAACCGCCTAAAATAGGCGATATGAAATAAAAACAACAAGATTAAACATAACATACATAATAACACAAACTCTTGCAAAC